ATTTCCAGCCGGTCGGCGTACTCGGATGATAACGTTCAAAAATGAACACTTTTTAATTTATTTCTCGGCTTCTGGTCATCCTAAAAATGTGGGACTAGTCTTAAAATTCATAATTAATTAGCGCGCTTCCAATGATACTAAACACAATCTAATGTGGCGAGGTTTTGTGCAGCATATCTGAGTATTTATGCCCACTTAAATCACCGGGCTGAAATTTAGAATTCGGTAGTCCAGTAACTTGGAATTTTCGAGTCAGGCGAGAGGTCGGTGTTAATTTACGTAACCGCACGGCCTTACTTGCTTTAATACTCGTTTTCTCTTAACATTTGGATACTAAATTGATTAATTAACGGAATGGTAATCACAAAATATAAATTTTTCCTCTTTTTCTAAAGGATGAGAACTTCAGGATGCTGCAAATTAAAATATTTCTACTGGAAAAATTAGAAAATTGAACAATAGATACGGCATCTCGGTTTCCTTATCGGCAATTAAAACGGCGCTACAAATTAAATGAGCAATTGCTTCTATCTTCTATTACCAACTCTTGGAAAAGCTATACATAGATCCAGAAAGTACAGTTTCTCGTAAAGAAGCGCCTGTTTGTGTTGGTCAATGTAAAGGGCGATTAAAGGTAGTAGTTTTGATCCATGTACCGGGCGTTCATTAAAGCTGGTGTAATTCATGTACGAAAACGGGTACTTCGTTACACCCGTATCTTAAAATCTGATCGCAAAAGTGTAAGAGGGTTTTCTATTTTTGTCTCAGAATTCAGTTCCCATTCTCCGCGAGCGCGAATTTTCTAATACCCTGTATAACAAGAACTTTACGATTATAAAGACTGACTGTCTTAAAAAAATTAACTTATGTACGACCAACTGCCGTTCACAAAACACCCACCAAAAAACAACGAATAACATTTTCGAGATACTCGCATCTGATGTTTTCACATCACCCACAAGTATGTCACGTACAAACTTTCCAATTGCTCTTTGTAAGTAAACAATGGTTACGATCAAATTCCTTAAACTCCAAAAGAATGTCATACCAAATTTTGAAGCCACTTGAAATGATCTTTGGGCACGGATCAACAATATTAATCATAATTAAGCATGAGACATCTATCTGAATCGTTAAAGGGATCGAATAAACAAATGATTTGCATGATTTCATATAAAAAAATTTTATTCTACGACCACAACTCAAGTATCTACTACAAGAACGCCCGAATAAACAAACCCCGCCTATGCGTCCGATTACAAATTAAACAGCATCAAGAAATCTTCAATTTTCGGTTACAAATTACAAATCTCAATAAAAATCCGGGGGCACGAAACACTAACTGCGGAAAGAAACAACGGACTTAACCAAAACGTAGTACACTAAATTTACTCTTCTTAATTTCTTTCCCAGGCAGGTTGCAGTAACGTCCATTGAATTCAAATCTGAATTAACCGACTGATCCCCAATACACGACCGAATGTCTGTTCGTTTAACGTGGACAACAATTTCAATGAAAACTGCTATGTACAATATCTTTAAAAGCTTTAACTCCAACAAGGCTGGACTCTTGATTACCACGTCTCGACTTCTTTGTCGATCAAACTTCAACGTAAAGACGCGTCTGTACTCAATTTTAAAAAGACATGACGAAAAGGCGACTTTAGATGGATACCCCGGCCTCACAAGTCACAATTGATAACAAGCTCCTTCTAACAGACTGCAACTCGGCCGCGACATTTTCGAAAGGCTCGTTTAAAGAGAGAGCACCCCGGTCTCGAACTTAGCGAAAAGGCGACTTTAGACGCACAGCACCCCCTCACAATTGACAAAAGACTCCTTCTAATAGATCGCAACTCGGCTTAGAAATTGGCGAAAGGGTTTTTTAAAGAGAAAATGCGACTTTAGACGGAAAATACTAATAAAAATAATGACTAATAAGTAACCCTAATTTAACATTAAATAATCAAGTAACTGTCTTGATAAAAAACCCAGATTATGCGGGTCACTCTGTAATTGGGCGCAAGCCTGTTGAGGGCCCAGAACAAGAGAGGGATAATAAATAACTGAATCATTTACAACAAATTCGTGTAGAATTGGTTGGCTATTATAGCCATCTATTCCATGCATTTTATGCGTTTTTGCCCTGTAGGAGAAATTAGAACTTATCTCCAAAAGATGTTGGAGAGGAGGGCAGTAGGATTCAAGGATCTAAAATTTACCTGAGACATGTAACTGTGTCATTAAAATCAAAGCATTATATGTCCAAATAATCCATCAAGATCCGTAATATCTATTTATGTAGGTAATTGAATTTCTGTTTATCTATTTATAGTCTCTTTCGTCGAATAATACTCATTTAACCAATTACTAATTCAAGTTAGCAATAGCATTCCGGTACTGAATTTCCATACTTAATACGAAGTTAGCAATAAATATGCAAACCAATAAAACAATTCCTTAATGAGCTTTACCTTATCCCCCAAGAACGATTATAGAAAGTAATGTACTTCTACACCTAATGGAGCATCTCTTCTTTGAAGGAGAACTTTAACCACAAGTCGTCTATCCAACCAAATTTTGAGATTTACTTACCAATTGCACTCCTTTCATAGTTACCAACCCCTAACATAATAATATAGAACCTTCTATTCATGAAACGCATATGCATGCAGTAAGCAATCTCCTATAAATAAAGATTTATTGCAACAAGGGTGCACTAATTTTACTGCATGACTCACATCACTAAAGGATCAGTTTAAAGGTATACGCGAAACCCCCCAGATTTATTTTAAGCTTATTGCAAATCGATTGGCATTTTTTTAAAATAGACGGCTTGTAGCAACTTAAAACCGTACGTATAAATTCTATCCGTAAAACAAAAGGCAGGTCCGTAAGAACGATAGATCTCTATCGATTGCACCGTTTGTATAACGATATTACGACGTGACTCGAAAGTCAATTTACCTGCGAGTTGACAACCATCGCGTTACGGTAAAATGAAATATTTTGTAGGATCGTGGTAAATCTGAAATTAATGCGATATACACAGGGGACATATAGACTCTATAATATATTTCTAACTGTTCATAGAAATGATGAGGAAAAAGAAGGCTGTATTTGGTTTCCAAACTCCAATATTCTCGTACACCGAGTACAACGTTTGGTATGGATTCATACAGTAACTTAGGTTAACATTTAAATAATGGCATTTTTAAACAAATTCCTCTCGCCATTTTCTTAAAAGATATATGATGTTATATTTGATAAGCATTACAATAGTTAGTATTCGTTCAAAATTTCGGAAATATGCTTAATGGAAACATAAGTATATGGGAATACTGGAAATTTTAAAATATTAGCAACAAATAACACATTAAAAAAATGAATTCAAATTATGTTAAAAATACCATAAAAAGGAACCTCTCATCTTAACTACCCATTATCCTTCTCAAGCGGGACCCAAGCTCCAAGAAAATTTTAAAATATCGAATTAAAATCAGGTCTATGGTGGGGCTCTGTACAGTCCTAGTTTTGTAAATAAGTTACAAATTTTTAATATCATTTTAATTGCACATATTTCCATCAGTAACGTACCTCATACGAAAGATGTCGTTTTTAACGCTCGTTACCTCATACATACATTCATTTGTAAAGTCCATTTTTGTATAGCACTAGCACATCCGTATTCTATTAGCAAGTTTTGACTCCATCATCAGTAAGATCTTGTCGGAGACAACCACAGTCCCTTTGTGGGTACCCACTTCTGATGTCCCGTTCACGTGGGGTTCCAAAGAGTGTTTGGACCCTTAAATTAAATTATCTTGCAAAATTTCACCATTGCCCCTAATTTGTTGAACGTTACCCGTATAAAACGATGGATAGACCCTGTGCTAATAGGGAAGAATTTGTATGAAACATGGCCACAATTTTTATAAATACGCTCGACTGGTTTTACAGGGTTTTACAGTAAAAAAAATAGTACGCTTTCATGGCAACTGTAAAAAAAATAAAATATTACCTTGGTTTATAATTATACTATTGTCGCTTTTAATTTCACTTGAGGAAATTTTTCTCGTAGTTGACCTGCCTAGGGCCCTAGGCTTAAAATACATACGTAGACGAAATGGGCAGTTCATTGCCATGTGGCCTTCTTTAAGATAATGGTAACATTGAATTTGTCTCTGCGGCTGAATTGCACAGGCAGAATTTGAAGGAATTTCTAAATAGCTAAGCCTGATTCTAAAATATTTTTAGATCTAGGAGGTGGTCGTATAGGTATATTTGTTTATAGAAATACGATTTGTTTCAGTTTCAGTTTTGTTCAAAGATGGTTTATGTACGTGAAATCGGAACTTATAGGTAAATTGAGGGGTCACACGTGGCCTAAGATTCCAAGAATCCCAAAAATATTGGCAAGAAAACCCAAAATGCTATAATGAACTAATCAATACTAATTTCCGAGCTAATTTCTATACAAGTACTACCGTTAAATGAACCAAATAAGAGAATTAATTACTTACAATTCTTTTACTCCCAGCGGAATCTAACAAACCCAATGTCTGTGAATACCCACGTTTACCTAATCTCAAAAATTCCTACTGATAGCCCAAAAGAAGAAGTCTTTGCTGATACTAAACTATATTTCGAACTTGGTACCTGTGGAATAGGTGACTAAATTGACATGAGATATTTACAAAATTGTATGTTACACCCTCTGGTCGTCCAAACATTCCTTATCTTCCCAAAATTCACTTTCTACCACACCACCAAATATGTTTAAAGGTGTTCCCCCCGACACCTTCGTATACGCATATGGATAAAATGCATCACTTCCTTCCGTTTTTAAATTCAAAAAGAAAAGTCCACCCCTTAACGCCGCTGAAACCCCACGAAAAAAGTTAATTTTTTTTTTAAACTGGTGTTGTGACACTGACAAAAGTAAACCTTGAACATAATTAAAAAAACACAGCAATACTATTATGTCTTCCTTAAAACAATTTAAATATAATAATACGGTTTATTTGATTGAATACACAGTTTTAGTCTCGGTTTTAGTACACTGTAAGTAACATGCATAAAGAAAACAAATAAACTGAAAGTGGAAATTATGATTTTTTAAATTATTTTTCCACCGCTAACTCTTTAACAATGCATTTCATCATTATATAGGCGGTTTCACATGGATCTGTAGTAGTACTCGCCTCCTCATTGCAACATTTTGCAATTTCTGGTGTTACTCCGGCAAATTGCCGCACAAACTCGGCTTCGTTCACTGCCCCGGTTGCAGGATTCATCAAATTCAGGGCAAAATACAGACACTTTAGATAGCATTTAACGCAGGCCTTGTTGCAATAGTGAGAATTGATAAACATTCCGTAAGCTAAATCCGGGCGAATGTGGGTTTCGCATTCGCAAACGCTTTCGTATGGTTGTACCAGTGCTGACCACTGCTCCCTCACTTTCAGCTCAACCTCCTAAAGCATTTTTTGATAACAATCGTACTTACGTACTGTAAGATCCTTACCCAAACAGCTATTACATCTGCTACTAGCAATACAGTCAGCAGCAACGATTTCATTTTGAATTTTTGTTACTTAATGCCACATTTCCTGATTATCTTTCATACTGCCTGTGTGTATGCTTTATCTTTGTAGTTTATAAACGTGTTCTAAACACGAAAACATTCAAAAACTATCACTTAACCCCTAAGAAGCCAGAATAGACTATCATCACGTACGCCATTGGTTTTAGGACCGTTATTCGTGTTACTGAGCATCTACAGCATTTCAATTTTATTAATCTAAGTGACAAAATGGTTTTTTAAAGTAATAAACTTAACTGACATTGTGACATAAAGCCATTATCGAAGTCGAAGCCAAAATTACATCAACAGGTATTACTTTCAAATCTCTCCTCTTATATGAGGTAAGAATGAATGGTTTAGAATGCGATTCTATTGAACATCCTTGCCATTTTCAGTTTTCTCTTAACATCGGCAGTTATCTGGCGTGTACTGCATATCTACGGTAAATAATCGCGATGATGTAGGTGAAAATTAAGAGGCTTCCAGATGTCAGAGTAGAAGTAAATCAAGCACACCTTAACCCAGTTTGACCCACTGATCAAATTTGACACTCAGTCTGATCAAAATAGAGAGTAATAGAGAGTGTGTCCCCTGATTGTTTGGTCATCTCTTATACAAGACAACTGCTTGATTGGAAACTAATTTGTGACATAATTTCAGTTCCTAAAAATCAAGGGTCCCTTTGAAATCTAGTAAAGTCCAGTAAAGTGCTCTTTGGGGACGAGATATGCGCAAATGTTATAAGAAAAGTTGCTCAGAATAATAAACTGAGAAAAATGTCAAAGTCCTATAGGCATGCTTTGATTTTTCGGATGTTTTTATTATTTAACTAAATTTTTGAGGTAACCCGAAAACCTCGCCGAAAACTGTTCAAAGAGAATGTAACCACCATGTAGCAAATTTGAGGCCCATAGAAACACTTGCCTCAATTTACCTACATTAAATATTTTAAATAAAATATAGGAGTGTTCCTATAGGCTTCAAAAAATACAAATTCCAACAGAATGAACATATTCAAAATTGTAGATAAATCCACGCGTAGGTACTAAATACGATACAAGTTTAATTATATTACTCTCTTTAAGAATTTTCTGACTAATTTCAATCAAAAATTCACTGCAATTTCTTAGAGATTCGATTTTTATTTTTTATACAAATTTTTAAAAAACCCATGTTACCTTTTCGTTTTCTAAAATCGATGGTTTCCCAATGGTACAAAACAGTACGGCTCTTCTTGAAAAGATGGCGCCTTAAGTCTGGACAATATAGAAACAAAAAGTTGATCTCGTTTTGTTGTATGAAATAATCGTGCACTGAACTTTCTATTTATCTCAACTGCATTCAAACTAGCTATCACAATACGAGTGCACTTAAAAGGCCAAACTCAAGTTTCTTTACCAATCTAAATGCCACTTTAACTATGATTTATTCGCCGGAAACGGCCGTTTGTGTGTATGCGATAGTTGCGTGTCTTACGTCTCCTTACCCTGTCATACTCGTATATTACACGGCTGCACCACCGATACGGAAATTAGGCGGTACCCCTAGCACCCCTTTATCCAAGAAATTAATCCAAGTTTGTTGTTGAACATTATCCATCGTTCCTCTAAATGGAGAAAATTTATGGGGAAGGCTTTGAGATGCGATTTTCTTAATCTTTGATTTGATTAATTGGTCATCGCTATTCTTTCATTTGTCAGGTAACGAACTAACGTTTTCACGATTTAATAAATGTCTTATTGCATGCATAGTTTTATAATAAGTATCTCTTGTTCAAACCAAATAAAAAGTGGGTGTATATAAAAAAGCCATAACATCCAGATCGTATTTTTCTATTTTCATTAAAATGAGAATTCCTAAAAAATTCTTGAAGATAATATAAGCGCTGCGATGTGGAATATTCTTATGTCTCATATGCAAAACAGTCTACCAAATAAACTTCTGCCACATATCTTCGATCGTAAAACTCTCGCGCGAGGGTATGGGATTCAGTTCATAAATCTGTGCAAGATATTTGCATTGCTATACAGGTGCCATATGTGGAAGCTAGTCTAAACTACCCACAAGGGTGTCAGTACTCCAAAAAATGTCTAAACTGTTCCCTCTGCGACGATACAAATTTGAATAGAAATCGCTTTTGTCTTTCTAATGGTTGCGCGGACGAATTAATTAGAATTCAATCTGATCAATGGAAAAGTTTCTCTTCTTTTTGCATTTTATATATTCAATATGAAAATACCGATCTCACCCGTTTGAAACGCAATAATTAAATTGAATCGAACGAAACTGCTACTCTAAAATTATTTCACTTTTGTGTGCAAGCTAAGCTAAAAAAATATTAGACAATGATGGATCATGGTGATATAAAAACACTCCCTAATATATAGAACCCTTACCGAACACAGACCGGACGTATCTTTACGAGTTTCGATATCACGGAGAATGACAGGATTATAGGTCGCTAAAAGAAAGAATTGTAACCTTGTGAAATCTGCTAGGGAAAATAATAGCGAAAGGGATCTTTACTACCTACTGCAAATGATTTTCGATATAATGCGAAAAGAATTTCCCTTCGAAATTTAATTTGGAAGTTTTCGAGGCTACAACGAGGGCGGTCATTAATTGAGCAAACCTAAACATCTAATCAAATTTATCCCTCCTCGCATGTCTTCATAAACATACTTCCTTTATTCTATTTTACCATAATTTAATTACACTAAACTAATAAAATTATGCTTGCTGTAGTCCCTATCTATACATATAGTAGCTAAGTTTCCTTTTTCTTTGTTAGGTTTTTCTGGGTAGGTACTGGGTTTATTGCGAGGTTTATTGCGTTAGTCAGCAACCTTTAGTGATTAAATTAGGCAAAACAATCTTACAATTTAATTAGTTTATAATTTAATAACTTCTTAGGACAGTGTTACATAGGTACAAGTGCTTTGCACTTGTTCAGTTATTTGATCTTCACGTCCTTTGGTTCAGAAATTTCTGTATTGCAAAATATTCAAATCTATAGATAACCGATTTTATTCTGTAAACTGTGCTCTTAAATGAAGGTTTATTTGTTAATTCAATAGCTTTGTAGATCACGTTTTCTCTTCAAAGAATACACCTTCACAGACAATTTGGTTACATTATATCATGTATAGTATATCTAATCATTACGTACAACATTTTTGGGCATTTATAGTGCATTTTTGGAGAAAAAAATACACTATTAGTATATCTGTTACGGCTGCCTGGCTGTCCGGCTGAGATCTCAGCAATTACAATAACTTAAAATTTTCCCTAAAAACTTTCTCGTATTATATAGGTGTGCAGGCTTTAGACTATTTTGAGATTACCGATTACTTTTGAGATCGATAATTTATGAAAATAATTTCAAAATGGAGAAATAAACAAATACAGTGGCGAGAAAATTTACCTGAACGGGAAAACTTACTTTGCTAAATAAAATACCGATTTGTAAACCAAAAATGCGCTTTAATAATGCATATGCTGAATTACTTCTGGTTTTAAATATTCCTAGCTATCGACACCTAACCAAGCATAATAGTTACATAAAAGTCAGGAAAATGGCAAATTACTGGCGAGGAAATATTGGAGTACAAGGCCCCTTTGATAAAAAAAGTTAACTCTTGAGCTGACCGTAGATCATTAACAAAATTTACAAAACATTTCAAGTCATATTTAAAAAATCTCTAATTTATTTCACAGAAGAGAAGTTCAGCCCTCTTTGCCTTGTAATGCCTGTTGCAAAATGACCTATAATTTACTTATACAACTCCTTTAAAGTTTCAGAGTTTACAAATTATATAATCAAAGCCCAAAAATGTGTTGCTCGAAATGAACTTAAATACAATAATACAATCTTGATTCAAAAGTTCTACAAATTTTTGTTGGGACACCTTATGCAATTGAATAAGCTTTCACATGGCGTATCACACCTACCCCATGTGCCATTTAAATTGTGTTAGAGGGTGTGTGAGGATGAAATTTAACACATGAAAATGAGGTTAAATATGACCCCTTTTCTATGTATATGTACATATTTGACGTGGCCCAGCAATGATTTGTTAATTTTACAGAAACTAAGGGGTGCAAATTTTGTATGGCATCGGTATATATTCATTTGCCTTCGTACGGAATCAGATTCTTTTAACATAACCAAAAAAACAACAAAAAGGTTATAAAGTAGTACGCGTTTCAATAATTTGATCAGTATTTCGGCCGCAAATGTTACAATGTCCCAGTAACATGCTCTTATGGGCGATACTAATTTTTCTTCGTCTTCAGCCACTTTTACACGTGACAAAATTATGAATTACCTTACTATCGGCTAGGGCAATTTAAAACTCAAAACAAATAGCATCGATAAACATAAAACAAGCGAAAATGATCCCATTAAGCCCATTTACATATAACTAAAAGCCCATTACTCGACAATAGGAATTTAAACATCTAAAAGGATGATATAATAAAGGTACAACACGGTTTCCCTTTTATTTTACATTTCGAATAATAAATGACACTAATCCCCGATTCAGTGGTGCGACACACACTGCACTGATGGAAACGTAGATGGGTTATGCAAAAGCGCCGCGGCCACAATTCGCAGGGTAATAATAACGACATAGCGCGCCAACATGATGAATAATTAACGTAATTTGTATACACGCTCGTAGACGTCAGATAAAATTTCTGGGTGCATGTAGAAAGAGTTTTGATGCGATCGTTCGCACACGAACCGACTAATATTTAAATCAAAATTTGTTAAATTAAATTTTCGATACTTACCCTTCTCAAACAGCCCTTTCTGACATGAACATGGAGGGGCCAGACGATTAATTTCAATTTATTCGAAATTGTTTCGAGATTAAGAAAAGGAAATAAATGAAGCCATTAAACTCGACTTGTAGCGGCTGAAAAAAAATTATAAACCTAGCAGTTGTCTCAGTAAGGCACATAAAGTACCACAAGTATCGTTGTGTAATAGTAATTCATGTTAAAAAAACAATAATTCCTATGGAATAAAGGCAGTAATTGGAAG